GGGGAGGGGACCGCTGGGGGGCGGGGGAGCGGCGCGGGGGGCAGCCGGGGCGCGGCGGGCAGCGGTGCGGTTACCCCGCCCGCCGCCGGGGCTGCCCGCTTCCGCGGAGCCCTTCGTGCGGGTGGGAAACGAGCCGAGCCACCGGTAAGGTGTCCGCTGGTCCCTGCGGACAGATCGGCCGTCGTGCGTAGAGGTGATCGCGGCAGCCCGCGTTGGTGGTAAATAACCGCGTTTTCGAGTCAGACGCCTGAATCGGACCGGAGCTTATCTGAGCCCTTTGGAATTGCGGGTGGGTTGTCAGTTCAAAGCCCTTTCCTTCCTGGGTAGGCTGGAGGTGGTACCGGTGCTTGCCATATACGTGTCTAGTTGCTGAGCAACAGAAAAATGCTGAAATGATTTAGTTCTAAAGGATTTATTATAGCAATAAATGTCCCGAGTGGAAAGGTGGTGTGTTTTCATTACCTTTGCAGAAAAATCCTAATTGGGAGGAAGGGAAGAAATTACTGTATCTGCTTGTGTAATCTAGTTGGGGTAGTTGGCTGTGAGGGGAGCTTCTAAGTAGTTCCTTTTTCATTTAATTTTTTTCCCCATCTAGCGAAACATCCAGAGATAAAAGCATTGATGAAGCCAGACTACAACTTGATCTGGGTGGTTGTGCTGATGGTTCTTGCGCAGTTGACTGCATTTTATCTGGTTAAAGACTTGGACTGGAAATGGGTAGTCTTCTGGGCATATGTTTTTGGAAGCTGTATTAGCCACTCCATGACTCTGGCTATTCATGAGATCTCTCACAACAGTGCCTTTGGCAACAGCAAAGCAATGTGGAATCGATGGTTTGGAATATTTGCCAACCTCCCTCTTGGTCTCCCGTACTCCATATCCTTCAAGAGATACCACATGGATCATCATCGTTACTTAGGAGGCGACGGAATTGATGTGGACATTCCTACCAACTTTGAAGGCTGGTTTTTCTGCACCCGTTTTAGGAAGTTCATATGGATTGTTCTTCAGCCTTTCTTCTATGCGATTAGACCTCTCTGCATCAACCCCAAACCCATTACTCGGCTTGAAATAATCAATTTATTGGCTCAGCTTTCCTTTGATATCGTGATATATTATTTATGGGGAGTCAAATCCACTTTTTACATGCTTGCTGGTTCAGTACTTGGACTTGGGTTGCACCCAATTTCAGGACACTTCATAGCCGAACATTACATGTTTTTAAAAGGACATGAGACTTATTCCTACTATGGGCCACTTAATTTGCTCACTTTTAATGTTGGCTATCACAATGAACATCATGACTTCCCCAATATTCCTGGCAAGAGCCTTCCACTGGTAAGTTTTACTTTAACCGTTACTACTTTTCCTTAAAATAAGCCCTACTTTAACTTGAAAATCAGGAGAACACTGATATTTAGAAGAATGGAAATTGAGAGAGAAAAAAACAACAACAAAAAACCCCAAAAAACCCTGAAACCCCCCAAAAAACCAAACCAACCAACAAACACAAACCCAAAACCCAAACAAAAACCAGAACAATTTCTAAGTTGAGTGATGACGGGGGTAATTAGTTACCATTTTAGTGGTATCCTGAACAAGCCTCCAATGTGCTGGCTGTTCAAGCCTCTTCCATAAAAGGAGAGGGGAGGGAGGAAACGCATGTCTTGTACTTTGTGCTAACTTTAGTTTTCTGTAATTACAACCAGCCTCCTGTTGTCTTTGGTTTGTAAGTATGTAGAAAACTAGTTAAGAAGTTGCAGATACCCTCAGAGGTTTGTTGTCTCTGTCTTTAAAGTCTTAAGGACAATATTATAATGCATGCTTATGCTTCAGTCTCTTCTATCACTGACATTCTCTGGTGGGGAAAAGAGATGGTTTGAGATATGGCTAGCATTTGTTGTACTGTTGACAAATGTTTAACAGCTTTCTATTTTGGAGCTGCTCAGTTTCCTCTAGTGAGAACCTTTGAACCCTAAATAAGTATCAGCTGTACATTGACAGAATTAAGGCTTCAAAGCTAAGACTTAGGCCTGTAATAGCTGCATGAGTAGCAGATGTGAATTTTCAAACTGGTTTCTTCCCACTTCAATCTTTGCTGGTTTCTTTTTAGCAGGAGCTTAATTCTTGTTGTATATGTGTTTCCCAATTGGAGCATGGGAACAGAGGCTTCCAGGGTTACACCTAAAACTCATCTTCAGTGAAATGTGTTTTTCATCAGACACTAAATTTGCAATTTGACAGCAGCTGTGGTGTTGGTCTTGCAGCTTTGTTATTGCACTTGGTAATAGTCAGACCTTGTAAGCTTGTGGCTTTGGTGGAGTCTAAACTTGATTATTTCTGTTGTCAGTGGTGGAACTGTAGATGAAGTAACTACTCCAGCACTTCTTTAGTGGGGCGGTTAAATTCTGTAATTGTTTTTTTTGAAACTTTGTTTTTGTGAGTTCTTTTGTTATTTTGTTTTTGAAAAGGACAGATGATTTCTTATTCATAGATTTTCATTTTTCAAATACAGCTGAAGTTGCTTTAACTCACCTTTGATACCTAGATCTGTGCTGATAAACCAGCATTTCACTTCTTGCAGCAGTACTTCAGTTGTAAAAAGGGAATAATTTTTTTTCAAGTATTTAATTGCAGAGGTGCTTAACTAGCTCTGCTATAGGACTCTTAATCCACAGCTCTGATAAGAAAACAAAGCCTTTTTAGAACAATGTAGTTAATTTGATTGGACTCTGCTATGCTGTGTGCTAAAGATCATTGGAGTACTGAACACCCAATTCCAGCTGGGGTCCTGGTGAGCTGAGAACAATTGCTGTTGAATAAAAGTATACTGGCTAGATGCACTACTCTGAAGGTGTGATGACAGATCAAAACGATCTTTGGCTCCAAAGCAGGCATGCAAATATCTTGGGTTTGTTTATACAAACAAACCTTGTCTTGTTATACAGATAAGTATTTTTCTTCTGTCTAAAGCCATGGAATTTAGTGAAAAATCAGTTATGTTCTGTTCAGGTTTTTAAGGCTTTAGGTGGTTGGCCTTCAATATCAGTAAGGATATCTAGCTGGAACTCCAGCTCTCTTAGTTTAAAACAGTGGTCTAGTCAGCATGTACATCTGAGAATAAAGTCTTTGGAAGCAGTTTATATTCATTCTTTAATGTCTGCCCTCAGAAAGAAATTGTCTTTTCTGAGTGAGGTTTGAAACTGCATGTAAAAACAGCTGTGTTAAACATCTCTTCCTAGAATTTACAACCGCCTTTTGAGTGATACTCATATACCTATGAGTCAGCACTGAACTGAGTCACCCACTTCCACTAGCAACCATACTGCTTGCTTTTGTGAGCTACATCATTCTGTAGGTAGCCCAGTGAACGGGCTTCAGAGTGTTAGCAGAGTTTGTTCTGGTTATTTTCAATATGAAAGTTTCACATGAAGTTTACTTAACAACGAGGGAGTCGCTTTTTCCTTAAAGAAATTTTCACACAGTGGCACTAGTAGCCTTTCCTGTAGAATCTAACATCTAAAATGAAACTTCTGGTGCTCTACATTAAGTTACAGGTTGAGGATTATAAAGTTGTCATGATTGGCGCTAATATAAATAGTAAATAAACCTTGTATCTCCTCTTTAGGTGAAGAAAATAGCAGCTGAATACTATGACAACCTGCCACAATATAACTCTTGGATAAAAGTACTGTATGACTTCGTGATGGATGACACAATCAGCCCATATTCACGTATGAAAAGGCAATTAAAGGGTGAAGTGAAGCAAGATTAAACTTCTGGCAACCAAAAAACTTTGAAAAGTCTGCTTGCTTTAAAGTGGCTGGCTGGTATAAGGTCTCTTGCTAAAGATGTTCACCAGTGTCCTGAATTAATCTACAGCAACACAGCAATGCATCCTTAAGGATTTTGTAGAAGACTCCTACCAGCTATAACATTCCTCGCAGTCCTCAGATTCATTGGTTTAATGTGTATATGTTTGCCTAAGGACCAGTGTTATATGCATAATGCTAAATCACTTTGTTACAGAATTTACTTTGGCAGGTGTTAAATCTATATAAAATATCTGTCTGACTCTTAGTATTTTAAAAGTTCTCAATGTAGTACACTGCCCACAACATGCTATTTAGATGACTGTAGTGTTAAAATGCTGTACTTGCCTGTTAATTCTAAACTAACGTGATTTTTTTAACTTAAACCTTCTGTTGAACCTGTTTCCTAACTTACGAGTGGAAGAACTAAATTTGCACAGAAATGTTAAGTCTGCTTTTGTTTAAATACGTAACGTCATCTGAAGCACTGCTTTAAAGTTCTACCTTTTCTACTGAAATTACCTTAAAGGAGCAATCTATTGGAATGAAATTGGCATTGAGATGGCTTGTGTGACTTTCTTGCAAAAAGGTGGAAAATTGCCAATTTTATGGGTCCCCACCTAATGCCTAAGCTGCTCATGTTAGCAGATAGCTTGAGCAGCTAGCATTTAGAATTGTATTGTGTAAGCCGCTAGGTAACTTAACTGATTAGTTTTTTCATATTTGGAAAAATCTTGCTACAGTTTGGGTTTTTTCTGATCTGCAAAGAAAAAGGATTAGGCTTGTCCTAGTTGGTTCTGCTGTTACCATGGTTTTAAATGCAAACTCAAATATTTACACTCATTTGGAAATTTGGCTTGTATGGAAAACTGAATCAGTTGAAGCAGATACTGTTCTGGCAAACAAGGCTAGCTACAGCCCGTGACAACTCTATTAAGTGTATTAGTCATTTGTGTACACAGAAAAGTGTTGATAAATGACCTTGATTCCACCCCACCCCCCCAATCTACACTACTCTACATAAATACTTGTCATTCTTTCATATTAAAATGTGGTGAGGGCACAGGTGGTGATACCAGACTTCCTGCTTAAGAAGTTTTAAAATTGGGAATGGAGAATGGATAAACTTGCTGAAGAATGAATCTACATACCTCAGCACAGTATATTTGCCTTCTATCATCTAATGCATTGATGATGGCTTTAAGCTGTCAAAGATGGCTACAAATCACCCTTAAATCTCAAATGGTGATCCTACAGTATATTCTTCACTTATCTGAAAGACAGAATCTGATGAAGGTGGAAGTCTCAGCTGCTGTCCACACTGGTCTGCTGTAAGTAACTGAATTTTTAGATGCCTCCAGCTCCTGTACTTTGTGTGGTGTTGGTGTTTTTTTTTCCTTCCTGCCTGAGAGGAATTTATTGGTACATCTTAACCCTCACTTGATTGCAGTCCTGTTTCTAATGTGAGTTTTTTTTTTAAGAGTGGGCCCTTATCTGTGGTTAAGTAATAGAAACAGTATGAAATTGTACCAACCACTTACAAAGTGACTTCATTATGATGCCAATAACATGCTAGCTAGCCAGCATATCGCTCAGGGTATAGTGTAATGTCAAAATATATTTCATCTGGTACTTTTACATGTAATTAAAAAGCAAAGATTTAAGTAATGTTGGGTGAATTTTTGACTGATCCCCTAATGCTAAAGGACTTAAGCTTTAGAGAAATTTGGTATTTTTAAAGCAGATGCAAGAGTGGTTCTATTGAGCGGTGGTATAGATGAACTGTGAAGAATCACTGCCTTGCCTTTCTACTGGGAAGAAAACTGATTTTGGCTGAAAGACTTGAATAGGCTTAACAAGCTGCAAAAGCTTCTTTTTAAGCCACTTCTCCGTGACTGTTTCTCAATTTAAGAAGTGAACGGTGAAATTAAATCTCTTTGATAGCTTGCCATAGCTGAATGAAGGATGGAAAGTGTCTCCAGAAAGTTTTACAGCTAAAAGCGAGAAATTGCTTATCTGAAGTACTCATCTAGGATAACTGAGAGCTCAGAGGTTAACTTTCATACTTGGGCTTAGTTACCTGTTTCATGGAATCACTGATGCCCCTTACTGTCCTCCCAATAGGCAGTGCAAGTGTGAATTCCTGCTTTTGAACGTGACCGAAATTGCCATCTCTCTTGTTTTAAAATTGCAAATACTGCTTTAAGGGGTCCTGGCTATGATCTTCTCTTCCAACTCTTGATTATAAATATCCCATTTTCACCTTAAGAGCTGCAGAACAGTGGGGAATTCCGAGGGAGACATCTATACTTGTGATAATCTTTCTGAAACACGTGCTACTGGCTACCTTTTGGAGAACACATACTGGCTAGGTTAGCCTGAGCCAGTGAGACTTATGTTTGGATCTAAACCATGGTCTCATTCTTGCTAGCATTGGTAACTACCATTCTTAGGCTTATAATTCCCGTGTGATACACAAGAGGCTTCGGCATCTAACTTCAGTAGTAGGGATTTAGCCAGAAGCAGATCATCTGAAAGTTAACCTATGTTGCAGCATCGTTTCATTCCTAAAAAAAAGTTAGAAGTGTTTCTCAATGACTGGTAAAAGGAATTAAGACCAACTGGACTACTTGGCTTGTGTTCAATACATTCTAAATTAATAACCAGTTTCCTCCAGTCATAATGTGGTGCTTAGTCCAAAGGCATGGCACAGAAATAAGAAACATGAAAATTTATTTAAATATATATATGAACCATGTAGTTATTGTTTTTAAGGAATTAAATAGTTTTCATTAATGCTATTAAAATATATCTGGCAGAAACAGGCTTGTATAGTTTTTGAAATACTTTATCTGAAAGTTGGAGGAAGCTTTGACTAACCAGTGAAGAACAAGTTAAACCTAAAGAGCATTAAGAACCCTGACAGTTAACCTAATTATATAGTTTTTAATAAATCCATTCAGATGGAATGAGTTAATTTTGTCCTTTATACATGATTGTTAGGGTTTGTTCCTTTCTGTGTAACTAAAGCATCTTACTGGTTTGTCAGTTTGGCAAACCTCTCCTTTATGTGAAGTCAGCCAGGAGTTTCACTGTCAAAACACAGCTGACTTTAGGTCAGCAGTGTTAAACACTTCATCCAAGTATTTTAGCTGCAGTTAACTTGTGCAGAGCACTGAATCCCCTTCAGGGCTTTCAGAGTAACTTCAGAGTTTTCAGAATAAACTGCCTTGCATGGCTTGTAACACAGACAGACACACACGCAGCACTCCCCAATTATTTGAAGCTGCTTAAGCGGAGTAAGTAATGCATCCTGGAGTCTGATCATACTAGGCATGAGTTTTCCCATAGGACAGGTGTGGGCATATTCCTCTTTCAAAACAACTCTTGCCTCTGGTGTTCTTGTTTTGCTGTTGAACCTGTCTGTCCCACAACAGTGGCCAATTAACCTGTGTTAAATGGGTGCATGTCTCTGGCTACAGAGCTCCGTACATTCAGATCCAGGACAAGACTTCCTACCTGGAACCAGAGGCCAGTTGGACAGTAGTTAAGGCTTTTGGGTCCATGTCTCAAAATTCCTCTGGTTAAGTCTTTAAATATAGCCAGCAAGCAAATAACACATTTAAAGTCTACAGATGTTGAGAAATGGATCTCTTGGATCATAGATACTAGAGATACTTAGATAATGAGCTCAGATGAAGTGGCATGCCGCAGTAGAACTTAAAGCTGCTCATGCCTTATTTAATGGTGGGGTTCAACAAACAATAACATCAATGCTATAAGTTGCAGGCTGCCATACTAAACCTGTTGGACAAACAGGAGAAAAGTTGCTCTCGGGTAGTGATCTTGCATATGTGGTCTAAGAAACAGCTTTTGGAAAGTGTACTCCTCTGTAATTTGAAAGAGTCTCAGACTTAAGGCAAAGAAGGTTTTGCTGTTTTAGCTTGCACATTGCAAAGCACAGGAGCCACTTCTGGGTCTGCCAAGGTTGCCTCTCCAAGGTCCTAGGAAAACAATCGGACAAATAGGTGTGTCTAAATCATGTACATTGCCTTTAGTATAGCAACCTGCAACTCTATGTACACAATTCTTTCCTCTCTATCACTCAAATCCTCTATTTCACAATCAAGGCTGCAGTGGTATACAAGACTTCAGTGAGGGCAAAAATGTTGAAAAAGTTTCCTATTTAGCCAGGAATGAAGACAGCATCTCTTCCCCCCCCCC